TAAAATGATATTTCCTTTTTTATAAAATAACAGTTAAAATGGTCAAACTACCACACACCTAAAAAAAAAACAAGTAAGAAAGATTGATGAGTTGGTTAAATCAAACAACTTATTAAAACAAGGAAAAAGTTTATATAAGGTATCAACCTTATACTGTAGAAATAAGGTGCATATCAAAAATCCATCGGAAAATGTTGTTTTGTAATTAGAAAATTCTCTAATTGATCATCTTCACCTTGATCTACATAGATATAAAAGAAAAAATGAATTTCAAGTCTTAAAAATAGCGCATCTTGTAACACATCCAAACCATCCATTTTCAAGATTTTCGAGTGCTCATAGATCACCTAGAGGTACACATTTTCGAAGCTTTCAATTTTATTATAGGGTGAAAAATAGACTTTTAGACCATGATAAGAGTTTCGGCACCGAAAATACATCTTTTCATGAGATTTTGAGGTGCACCTTATCGCGATTGTTCAAAGTAGATACCTTATATATGTGAGAAACTGTATTTCTGTATATTTGGGCCTTATGCCCCCATGGAAGATATATTTCAGAGCTTATGGAAGATGTGAACAAAAGCCTCAATTTATAGGGTTACACAGGTGTGTAATATATGCAATGAACAACCTTCCTAATATGGATATACATAAAATGAAGAAAAATATTCTACTAAAACATAAGTGCAGGTTTATATAATTTCCACACTCCCACTCAAATTCAAGATGTGTTAAGAGACCAACTTGAGTTTGGACTATTGAAGGCAGGCCTTAGAAACAAAGCAAGAATAGAAGAAGCTTGAGCAGTTGTAAATTAGTGATCCTCAGAAATCGACACCTCGAACAGAGCAGTCTCCTATAACAACAAATCAACACGCCTCCGGAATAGATAGGATCAAATAGCAAAAAAGAAAAACTCGATCATCACACAGGATGGAGTAACAAAGAACTCCATCATCCAATAGGATTGAGTAATGAAAAACTCAATCATTGAATATAATCGAGTAACGGAAAACTTAATCATCAATTAAGATCGAGAAATTCAATCATCAAACAGGAGGAACTTGGAAAAGCCAACTGAAATCAAAGGCTGATCAACAAGCACAATTGGACCTTAAATTCAAAATTGAGAGCAATAAGATCCAAAACATATCAGAGAGTCAAAATACGACTTGGTAGAGAGACAGATCAGATTGCCGAAACATGACTCAGTGGTTGTTTTGCATATGGCTTTTAGAGACCATTTTCTTAGGTGGATTTAGAGGCGGGTTTCAGATCCAGCTCACCAAGGGTCCGGTATCAAAGGGGAGCATGGCAGCAATGGGCAATGAAAGATGGCATACAGATCACAGAGATCAGCTTTTTTCCATTATAAACAAAATGGTATAACAATGATTGATACCAATAATAAAAGCTTAGGTGGTATAAGTAAATAGTATGGTCCTTCAAAGTTTAAATAAATAAAAGAAACCCTTTTCACAAAAAAGTCTACTTTCGCAAATGCAAAAAAAGGAAACCACTTAAACGATGCAACAAAGGCAGAAGCGGCACGAGAGAAAAATGAAAGTTGACAGAAGAGAGAGAGTGGATGCAGTAAGAAGAGAAAATTGGTCTGAAGGGAGAGTGGTTGGTTTTTCATAGGGGCATTTCAAAGGTGGATGGTTTGTTAGATCTGGCGTAGTTTCATAGGCAGGTTTTTCATAGGGGCATTTCAAATGCAGATTTCATCAAGCACTTTTGACAAATTTGTTTGTTTTGAGACAGAGGGTTGGTTGTAATAGTTTGACTTCAGATTTATATATTTTCATTTTTTTTTTTCTTATCGAAAGGTTTCAGAGCAATTTTGATGGATGGATTTGGATGGTAGGGAGAGTGGCTGATTTTAGAGATGGTGTTTGAAAAAAAGGCCTAACAGAAGATAACCCAAATCAGAATAGAGCAAAAGAACAAAACGAGAAGAGAGAAAAACATCTCATAAGTGCAAGACCAAAGTAATACAATGGACCATTAACCGTACCTACTCTTGTGAGACGTAATTTCGTGAAAAAGAGGTGTTGCAGGCTTTCCAAACGTCAAATAAACAGCAAAAACCACCACTGCCCGACGAAACGTAGCTAGGATAAATGTAGCGAGAGAAAGAAAAGGACAGAGAAAGAGGGGCTTATAGATCTGAAGGTATGCAGCCGAAGCTACCAAAGTTGCAGACAAAAACCAGTAGATGAAAGATTCGTCGATTTCTTCAGATCAAAATGCCTAAAGCCAAAGATGCAAGGCCTAGATTTCGAGCCAGGGGTTTTGCAGGCAGTCAGATGCAGAGATTTATGTGAGGGAGATTCAATGGCTAGGATTTCAGTTGCAAAGAGATTCAAGGAGATCAAGAGGGCATCAAAGAATGAGCCCTCTGCCTGCTTGGTATTCTTGCATACTTCTTCATGATATCACAGTTTTTTTTGTTTTTTTTTCTTTTTTCTTGAGAAATTGGCCAAAGCAACGAAGTGCACAATCCATGAAAATCGGCAAGCACAGGGAGGACACAATTCACATAAGGCCCAACCACTGATCACAGAAAAACGGAGAAACTCCCAATGGATCACGGAAGAAAAAGCCTCAAAAGAAAGTACCAGAACTAAAACTCAGGGAAGGAGTGGGTGGAAGACCCGTACTCTGATGATCTCTGGGAGTTGAAATCAACGAGCAAATTAACCCTACTATGTTGATTACAGCCGATGATGTCGGTGAACTTCTTGTTGTTGTTTGCATGCGCATGGATGATCGACGAAAGGAAGAAGAATAACATGACCACCAGAATCTGATATCAACAATCTGAGGTCTCAGAAATGGGCTTGTCCACAGAGAGAGAGAGAAAGAGGAAGGGGATGTGCAAAAATATAAGGTGCTAAGGAATGGCAGAGTTTGACGGTTCACAATTACATCATGGGTGTTTGTGTTTTGAGTTAGATAGTGTTATTGAAGAACTATGGAATCAAGAATGGAAGAGTATGCGGTGTTGCAGAGGATTGGAAGAGGAGCATTTGGAGATGCAATAGTGGTCAACACAAGACAGAGAGAAAGAAGTATATTTTGAAGAAGCTTAGGTTGGCCAGGCAAACAGAGAGATGCAAACGAGAGAGGAAACCCTAGAAATATGAGACGGTAGGGAGAGAGATCCAAAAAACAAAACGAAGACAGTAGATAAAGAGTCTGCAAAAAACGATGATTTGTTTGAGTGAAGAACAGACTCGTCTTGCCTGCGAATATAGGCGACAATCCTTGGGATCCAGACGAGGAATGGACACGATGAAAATTCAATCTGACTCTAATACTATGTGAGATACTGTATTTGTGTACATGTGAACAAGAGCTTCAATTTAAAAGCTGACAAAACTATGTATTTTTTTGTACCAAAGAAAATAACATAGGCAATGAATCACATATCCACGTAAAAATGTATTGAACCACCTTCCTAATATAGATGCACGTAAAAATATATATATATATTGAATCAAAAAGTAAATGCAATGAACCAACTTTTTAATATGGATACACGTAAAAGAAGAAAAATATTGAATCAAAAAATAAATGCATGTTTCTATAATTTTTACAATACAAACCTCACCCTTAAAACATGTTGGTTTTCGAAATCTCTTTTCACCATCCAGCTCAACTATTTGCAAACAGAATTAGCCCCTATTATTCAATTTTGAACAAGTTGATGTATGTAAGTAATTTGGCTCATAACACCACATCATCATCATAACACAAGCGGAGCCAAAATACCAAAATGCCTTTTGCTTGTTCCAAATTCCTAATATGTGATTTTTTTTCCTCACAATCCTTAGTCTAAATCTTAAACAAGCTTACTTTACTGTGATTACCTAAATACCTCTCCTTGTTTAGGTTACCCGGGCAAATTTTATTTTTCAACAAAATAGTTGAGGAACTCAATGCAATGAGCTTCGAAAGCAAAATTGTTTGATAAATTGGTTCAGTTGACGACCTTATCAAACTTTTTTGTGGTTGTTAGACTATTTTAATGATATTTTCTCTATTATTAATTGAGCAATTGAACAAGGTTTAGGAAATGAATTAGTTAAGCATGTATACATACTTATGAGTGTATTATTTTTTATGGCTACCACAAGTAGAAACAACAATAATAGTTCAAATGCATATATGTCAAACTACAACTATTTCTGGGTGAGATAAACCATCTACCTTGTCAGTCCAACAGTGAATGAACTATGATTTAAGAATTTAATATATTGAACAACTATAAATCTCATTAATGGATTGTTCAATGATCGGTTAAACCTAGTTTATTTCTAGAATCTCAAATTCCAGGTTCAGCCAAATAAGAGATAACTCAATTCCCAGACATCTAGACAAGTTATCAAACTTGGGATATGTCAGTTCCTGGTCTCTTGAAACCCAGTTTTTATGACCCAAGCCTTTTAATTTTTTCTTTTCTTTTTTTTGAGAATGTTAACCTTTATGACCCAAGTTTTCTAGATCTATGTTATCTAATGAAGTAAAAATTGAACCGGCAACTTCACCAGCAATGCTAAAAGAACACCATTGGAATAACAACGTAGGAGAGAAGAGGAGCTGATCTCGGATGTAGACCAGGCAATTGATGGATCGGCATTAGGCTGGTGCCTCCAATAAGACCATGTAGTACCCAGTTATCCTTGATTATCACACGACTATGTTTATGTAATAAATCAGTGGTAGGATTCAATGTGATGCCATAATTGTCAACAGGTTAAGCAATCAAGCTCAGGGTTGATATCTAAGCATAATCGTTTGTCTATTTCCTACATGCATGCATATATAAATAGTTGCCTGAATCCTTCGGTCCACGACGAATTCCTAAAAATGATCTTTTCCCCATTTAATGTCCACAAAAATGCATTGATGTACTTTCAACTAAGAGAAGCCCCCAACCATGCCATTGTGAACAGCAGATATTTGAGGGACCCGTTTATATTCATGCAGGAGTTGAATAGAGAAACTGGTATAAGTTCAAGAGAAGCGCAAGTATAGATGTTCTATTTGAACTGTACAAGGGATACACTTTCTTCTCTATTGTTTTAGAAAAGTGGTTTGCTCTATTATTAAACATAAAATAACACCATAATTGAATTCAACACATCAGTATTGTAATTTATAAAGAACGATCCGTTCCCGTTCGTCTTATCCCCAGGGAACAACTCGGTTGAGAACGACTCTCCAAAATCAAATTTCGTTGCCAAAGCATAACAGAGTGTGGCCAGCAAGAAGAAACAGAGTAGAGAGAGACCCCAACTCAAGGCTGTGAACTGCCACTCTGCAGAACTGACTTCCAAGCCCTGACCCAATCCTCCATAGCAACTGCAGCATGCACAAAGGCAGCATCAACACCTCCAAGCCCCACCTTCACATTCTTCGCAATCTCCAAAATGCAATCCTCAGCAGTAACAGCAGTCCTTGGCAGCGTCAGTGACTGAAAGAAGGGAAGAACCTCTTCCATCCACTTCACCCCCTTCCACTCTTTCTTCAACGCCTCCAAGGCCTCACTGCCCCCTCCCTTTCGTCTCACCACATATGGCAACCCGCTCTTTGCTCCATACCCTAAGTGATCACAAATTGCCTTTGCACACAAACCTGCCCAAATGTCCTCCAATGTCTCATACCTTGTCTTACCCTGCATCAGAAGCCCAGAGAACATGGCCACCCCAATCAAGCTCTTATCAAAAGCCAAATTGACCCCACTCACTGGGAAGAAAGCACCCCTTGGGACCGTCATTACAGCATTGACACACCTTGAGTTGGTCAACCCGGCCTTGACGAGCGCCGTTGGTGCATCATAGTCCGGCAGGCCCACCCAGAGGCCACATGACAAAGCAGTTGAGGCCCCACTCCTCAAGCTGAAGGGGTAGCCTCTCACAAAATCAGTCCCTGGCCTGTAAGGGTCATAAAGGGTGTTAAAATAGTAGGGAGTGGAAGGGGAAGTCAGGTTTTGGAGATGTTGCTTTATGGGATCAACTAAATGGCCCTTCTCATCAATCATGGGAACACAGTCAGGGTCAATGGCTACAATGTAGCGACGGGTGGAGACAAGGTAGCCGAAGTAGCGAGCAGAGAGTCCCGAGAAGTGGAGAGAGGAGAGGAGATCATGGCCTAAAAGGGTTTCCATGTGGCTCTTGGTGTAGACATCGGAGTTGAAACCGGGGGGAATATTTAGGTCTTGTTGTTTGTGATCGAGGATAGGGTCCTTGACAATGATGAGATGGTATGGGGTGAGGACAGGCCGCCATTCTTCAAGGAAGGGGCCAAGGTTTGGGTTTAATGCTGTTATCACGACATCCACTTCGTCTTGATTCATTGAGTTATCGGACATTGCTACCTCTCCTCTTGGTACAAATGGTTGGTTGTAATGTAATTGTAGGAATAGGAAGGATTTTGGCAAACTCCTAGAGTACTAGTGGCCTGTTGGCAGTCTCAGTATAAATTAGAGGGAAATAGGAGACGTGAGAGAGAGAGAGAGAGCGAGAGACTCAGCCATCCATTCGTCCCTCTGACTGCCTGGTTTGATATCTGCTAGTCCTTGTGGTTTGTGGATCTTGGGGTTGTTGGGTTAGTCACAGCTGCCGCTCCTTGCAACCTGTGTAAAAATACATGAAATGGAATAGAAGAAAGATAATAAAAAATGTGTAATAAATAAGAAATAAACAATTGAGTCACTAAATAATAAAACCTTAGCTGTTGTCATCTCATGCCCACTTGACCAAGACAACAAATTAAAGGAAGCATATGATTCAACGATGGAATAACAAATAGGCAAGGATGGCAATAAATTTGGAACGAATGCAACTTACGGGTCGGAAGGATTGGGTTGAATAAGTTTCGTGGGATCTGAAGGGAATCTATCAGTGCAATGATGGACTCACTTCCTGCGTTCATAAAGACACTGAGCACCTTCTCATTTAACTTTCCAGCCTCTATTGTCTTCTGTCATTCCCATTCCACAGAACAATTCATCAGAGTAATTCAATAATCTGAAAATGATAATCCCTACAGTACAAAAATTTGTTTAAAGCATGTGGTAACAAGGAACCATTCTTGCTTGCCCCAACACTTCATTACCCAATGCAATTACAAAGTAGAGGTTGCAATTACAAGACTATGTACACTAGACAATGTCAATGTAACTAATACATGCAAACCAATTACATAGAACATGACCATAACAACAATACATGGACGTAATTACAATCTCACAAGCACAAAATCAAACACAAAGCAACTTGAGAAACATGAGAAACCAACTAAAGCAATTTGCCCAATGATTACCTCAATGGGGTTTACACACCCCATGCCGGATTACATCAACCTATAGCGCACGGATCAAGGCCCTTTCTCGACTAAGTGGGAAGCTCCAAGATGACACCCTGACCAAGCATCCAATAGTGTGTAATGGGCTGTAGGAAATGAGGTACAAGTCAGCTGCAACTCGTTGGTTTGGGCGTACCTCTAATTGGGAGGGAGAGATGGTAAACAAAATTAACTTAATCAACTATGATAATTGAGTACATTGCTAGGCACATAGTAAACATAGTAATGAACTCCAAGGGGAGCCAAATAGTGGCTAATCTAATGGAAAAATGAGGGCTGAGATCAATCCATGAAAATGGTGTGGAGACTACAAAAATTCGGGCTATGTTCAACCCTTGGTGAGATTGGCTTAATGAGACTAGTAAGTAGGCTAGCATATGGGCCAGAACATGGCTAATCAAGACTCAATGTGAGTTCCAAACAATGGGCCATGGAGAGTTAAGGAGAGAGTGGCGTGGAGGCCAAGGGAGCATGAACTTTGGTATTGCTAGTACCATGAAAAATGGGCTCCCATGGCCCCTATTTATATAATAGAGTTAGGGCAACGGTCAAGTCTAGTATTCTACATAGTAATCTGTATTCTTAATGGAGGAGCAATGAGTCATTTATCATTGTGATCCATGGTGTGAACAGAGGCTCTATTCAAGCCATTCATTCCTCTGGGCAGCTATCATGATCAAGGGTTTGATCTACACCTTACTCATGAGCTATTTGTAACCTTAATTCTCCTTTAATTTCAATTGTCATTTCTTTTGGGAAAAACTAGCCATTTCATTTATGAAAAACTAACTCTCATATTCACTTAAATTTGATTTCAACTTCTAAATAAGTAATGGAGAGTCACTCACGAAAAATTCATTAAAGGAGAATTCATGATTTTGCAAGGCAACCTACCCCATAATCCTCAAACCATGTTCTCAAACCGACCCAATAGAATGCATGAGGCTCATGCTTGCTCCATCAAAGTCGGCCAATAGGCAGCAGGATTACAGAAACATAACGTGGATTTCAATTGCTCCTAAAAGGATATATTTATACTTTTTGGGGCACATACACCAAAACTCAAGGGGGTGATACTCCTCTCTCTAGCACATAGGCACTTCCTTTCCCATAAAGTAGACTCCCAAAGTATGGTTATGATGGGCAAATGCCGTGTAGGTGGGTATTTCAAGGATTGGCCCTTGCCATGGCAAGCCTCCAACCTACAAACAAAAGTATCTTACTCCTAGCCCACTATCATTGAGCATCTGTCCGATCTCGACAGGGGATGACCCTACAAATCCTTCTAGGTTGTTGGTTTGGGCTAAGAGCCTCATGCCCAAGGTCGAAGGCCGAAGGGTTTTGACTCTTTTTTTTTTTTTGATAAAGTATTGAAGGGTTTTGACTCTTTTCTTACCAGGCCTAAACTACTCAACCCAGGTGAGTCACATGGGTGCAAGTAGGTACTTTTATGGGGAAGATTACTTGCCTCACCTTAAATGGGCCTAAGACATATCCTAGTTCCTTGAAGGACCACACTCCCACTAGAGCCGAAATATCTCACTAATAATGGGTCTGAGGTCATAAACTCCAACAACCTTGTGACTAGGAAACAAATTCTAGGAGCAAGAAAATTAAAGCCAATGTACCTGGGCCAGGACAAGGCCCATGGCCGTAATGGCTTCCCAATGGCCATCTTCAACCAGTTAAGGGATACCCGGTGACCAGACGCGCTCGCCTTTTTCAACAAATTTCACACAAGGAAAGGATCCACAAGGACATGGACGCCACTTTTGTGATGCTCATCCCAAAAGTCAAGGGGTCGAAGACCTCAAATACTTTCAATTGATCAGCCTATTAAACCTCTTAAAATGATGGGCTCAGGCATAAGTGCTTAAATGAGCTATTTCACCAAATAAAGTGGACTTTGTTAGAGATAGACAGATCCTAGATGGGGCCTTGTGGCCCACAATTTATCCATTAGAGACACGTAGGAAAAACTCCCAGTGATAGCTATTAAACTTGACTAGGAAAAGGCTTATGATCATGCGGGCTGGTTCTTACTTGATGACGAACTCCAAAAAATGGGTTTCGGAGATAAGTGGAGGCTCTGAATTAAGGGGTTTATGTCAGCCCCTCACTTCTCTATTCTTGTTAATGGGGGCATGGGTCACTTCCCATCTTCCAAAGGGATGAGGTAAGGGGACCCATTTTCACACTTTCTAATTGTCATTATGGCCAAGGTTTTCAACAGATAATTAGATAGATTGCCTCAAAGGCTTCTTGTCCTGCAATCTCTCACTTACAAATACGCATATGACACCCTTGTCTTCTGTGATGCCTACGAGTAGAAATCAACACTTTGTGTGCTCTTTTAAGGTGTTTTGAAGTTTCAAAGGGGATGAAACTAAGAATGCCCAAATCCAAAGTCATGGGGATCGCCACTGATAATTAAACCATAGTTGTTGGAAACACTTGGCCTAAATCGTTTAGGAACCGGAATAGCAGAATCACCGTCGGCTCGAAGATTCCTATCTTAAGAATCGTTGTTCGTACAATAGGAATCGCGGGGAACGATAATCCTAGTTTTTGAGAATAGTGTTTCAACCGAAATAGATAGTTTCATCCACATATGGAATCAAGATTCTCATTCCCCTGGAATCGACACTCCAGAAGTCAAGATTAATTAATATTTGGAATCGAGTTTCCAACAACTATGAAATCGATTTTCTGACATATGTAGAACATAGATATGTTGTTGTTACAAATCGTGATTCTAAAATATTTGAAATTTTCTTATGTACATGGATCAGAGATCCATGCCAATTTGATATCAAGATTTACAATAATATGGACTATGGAATGCATTTGACAACCCGTACCAGGAATCGAGATTTCATTTTTATGAGAAGGAAGCTCCAAGCACATCTTGAGCCTTATCAACTTTAGAATCTATATTGGATGTCTCTTATTAGAAGGTTTCTCAAATTTTAAAGTGATTGTGTTCACTATTGAACTTACGATCATTATATATAAAAGAAAGGTATTTCTAAATTGTGATTTTGACTTTATTATTATAGAGACAAAATAGGATTATGTCTACACCATGGTTTTACTTTTAATTGTATGTGATGTATTTACCAGTTATATTTAAAATTTAAAATAAAAGCTGTCTAGGGTGGCACAAGTAAAATAATGAAAACCTGCAACCACTAGAAGCATTAGAAGGAAGATTTCTACTCCAATTTTTAGGAATTGCACAACCATCATAGACATTGGACATTATGTAATTTGAAATGGTTTTTTTTTTCTTTTTTACTTGGAATTTATATATTTTTTAATCCAGATTTAATCCTCATTGGAATCCAGATTCGATATATTTGGGAACGTCTACCCACAATTAATGGGTTCAAGTTTCGAAAGATGTGTTGGATCGAGATTCCGAAATTAAGGAATCGAGTTTCCTTGGTTCCGATAAATATTTTCGAAAGATGTGTTGAATCGAGATTCCGAAATTAAAGAATTGAGTTTTCTTAGTTCCGAAAATGGTTTCTAAAGAAGTGTAGAATTGAGATTCCAAAATTAAGGAATCGAGTTTCCTTGGTTTCGAAAAACGGTTTTCGTGGAGATTCCTTAATGGAGACGAGGAATAGGGTTTCGGAACTGGAATCGTGAGGTCGGTGGAGAGATTCCAGTAACTATGAATTAAACTACCACAGCCTTGGTCAATCGCTTTCTAAGTTCAACTCATTGTTGGCAAAGTATCTGGTCTGCCACTGTGCATTGGGAACCTTAGGAAGCACCTTCAGGATACATTAGTGGAAAGATTTTATTGCAATCTTACATCATGAAAATTTAAGCTTCTCTATTTGGGGGTCACACTCTAATCAAGGAAACCCCAACCACCGCGCCTATATATCAAAAGTCACTATTTTAGATGCCAATTTTGGTTGCCTCACACCTTTAACAACTTATAAGAAACTTTTTGTGGTCAAGGGCAAAGGGGCCCCACAAATTCTACTTTGCAAAGGAGAAAGTCTGTCAGCCCAAACCATATGGAGGACCTGAGATCGCCGCCTCAAGCAATCGAATATTGACAGGTAGGGAAATAGTAGTGACATTTGGCCACCCAATAGGAGCACCTATCGTAGGTAGTCGTAGGCACAAATATAGCACCAATAATTCTAGATGACTGCAAAGGGGATCCGCTAATACCAATCCTCAAGAGTGTGGAGATCACTTGTAGCCAACTACAATCAATTCTGCTTGAGAGCATGCTTTAAGCGAAGAAGTGGTGATTGTGTAAGCTACTGGTTGGATCTTTAGTGAATCTGCCTTGACGAGATCAGCTCCACTCCCTGTTAATTTTGGCCACGAATCAGGAGGCCATATCGCACAATCATTTGACTTGTCGGAAGGCACTAGAGTATGGAACCCGAAGAACACCTATGCAAGACCAAGAACTCCTTGACAAGCAACCTAACTTCCCAGTGGGGCCAATTATAAGTTGATTTGGGCCCCGTAATCAGACCATCGCTGGTGGAGGCAAAAGTTCGTACTAAAACAAGGAAACAAAGTTCATTTGTTGACGATATTCACGAGTATCTTTACGATTCAATATTCAATCTAACCATACTAAGATTCTCCTTAATATCCACATACATGTGACATGACTGGAACAACAGGTATCTTGTTCACCAATGCCTCCAACTGACTAATCCATGATTGAAAACATATGTGGGATTTTGTATAATTACTCCACAAATGCAACTACTCGATGTCGACTCTCACTAATTGTAGAACTTTCAATAAGTTGCAGAAGATCTAGCTTAATCCCTGGATGGTTAAAAAATGTTTGATATTGGATTTCAATATTGAAAAGCTTCTCTACTGGGGGATCGAGTGATAGAGATGTGAGAATCAAGTGATCTCCGTCACAATTAATGGGAGGCACCTTCCCTTAGGGACGGTCCAGCTCAAGGAACACCGTTTCGCACCCTAGGAGCTAATCCTCCTTAGGAGCTCTAGCTCCTGATTATATGGATCTCACTTCCATTTAGTATGGGATCTCAATCCATATCCTTTGAGTCACTGGAATATGATCATATGATTTTCATTGTGTGATAATTGATTGAAATCAAATTAAGACAAATTGTCAATTACAATGATGATCATATTCACTAATTCAAGAGCATGTACACACGGTGCTCATACGAGAAATATACACCCAGAATTTAAGCCCAGTCTGATTTGTAAAGAAAAAAGAAAGAAATAAAAAAGATAAAAGATAAAATTAAAATAGTCACATACACTCTTTAACAATTTGATCAAGATCAAACAATGAAGAAAGGGGGAGCGGGGAGCGAATGCTCCAAAAAAAAATGCTCCAGGGCATCAACTTCAAATTTAAAAGGATTCCTTTGACTTTTTTAATCATGTATGAATTTTGGTAGCACCTTTTCAAAAAGTTTCAAACAAGTTATAGATGATGGAACTTTGAGAATTCTTAGGGGCATTTTGTGGTTAATACCCTCAAATCCAATTTCATTCTCTTGCACGATGTGGGAATGCCACTTAGTGCCCCCCATCTCCACAATTGTCTTTACAGTAGCCTCTTTCTACAATGCCCTCAGCTTTCCAAACCAATGCACCGCAAATACCTAAGAACCAGTTATAATTAGTTAGGTTTGGCACATCCCTATGCACATTAAAGCAGAGGCCTTTAACTGGATAGGTGCCTCACACAAAATCAATGTTCAAGAAGGCGGATGCAGCCACCTAGGTGGCAGGCCAAGGGTCCTAGCCGCTTATGCACCTAGGCGGCTGCCCAGACACTTGGGTGACTTGGCGGCTTGCATAGGGGAGAGGAACAGATCCTTGCGGATTGTTGGATACCCCCGCCCCCCCCACCCCACCCGGGCCCCTGTTTTTTATTATATAATTTTATTGTATATGGAAAATAAATAGGATTAACAATTCAAGGAAAAGTAAAACCAGCATGATCAAAGAAAAAAAGTTCTAGGTAAAACCTACGTGTCAAAATTGCAATAATTTAATACATAAAACCAATAAAAATTTACTCATGCAATTATTTCATAAGGCAAGTATTAAACTAACTCATGAAAAAAAATTATGGGAATAAAATTTATGAATCATACAAGTAAACTCATGCATATTAAAAAAAAACAAATTATTCATTTGGTTTGGGGCATTGAACTTTTTCCATTGAATTGCTTTTCCAAACTACATATCAAATGGGGAGAAAAATCCAAATAGTTGATAACAAGTCATATACATATCATAAAGTATCAAAAAGAAAATACAAAAAGTAAACAATAGCATCATAATAAATTTTACACACAAAAAATATATAACCCTAATTAAAATTATTGAAATATACCAACCTTAAATGGAACCGACATCAACCCCATTCAAAAAAATTTGGTTCCCAAATCTCTTTTACAACCACTATAAGCCTCAAAAAGATTAGGGATCAATATCCTTCGATTTTGTGAGAATTTGAGGAGGTTGCAAAAAAGAAATTGATCTCTTGACAAATTTAAAAAAAAAAATTTGAGGGTTTTTCTCTCTCTAAACCTCACTAGAATGGTTTTCGGGGAGAAAGAATGGCCCCCTATACCCCCCTTTTAAGGAGGGAAAATGTTAAAAATACCCATTGGCCAAGGGGCATTTTCCGCCCTCGGCCTCAAGTTTTCAAGATGTCACCCAGGCGCCCGCCTTTCAGGCTGCCTTGGTGGGGGCCATAGGACACCCACCTATAGGACCTACCGCCTAGCCCACGCATAGGCGGTTTGAGAAAATAGCCACCTAGGCAGTTGGGTAGCCGAATTTTTGTACATTGAACAAAACCTTGACTCTCAAACACATCCAGAAAGGGGGTATTCCTCTAGCAAACTAGTGCACAATGTGCTGGAAGAGAATAATGACTGCCTGGTGATTCACTACAATCTGATTGCCGGTTCTACTTATAGAGCACTTTAATTGGGTTTGGATGATACCAAAATCCATCAAAATTTTAACCCTACACTGGTTATCCTGTCTGTGCCCTGTTTCCTGTAATGGAGACTGACCTTCCTAGCCCATAACTGGTCTCGAACGACAGAACAAAACCAAAAGACTTTCTAATACTTCCACTCAAGTATTTTATTATCAACTGACCAGAAGACATGATCATCTCTTTGGCCCTTTGCCAAAAAGAGTTAAAGAATTATGCGGCAACAGACTTGATCAACCAATGGAAGCATGTTATTTGGGACGCCTAAAGCCGTATCTAGATCATCCTTGTGGCTGCCAAATGCCCATGGAAATCAAGTAAAATATTAATCTGTTCTAAAGGAAACTCCTTACCGGCAGGCACATATGGCATAACCACCAAAGACCCAGATCCTACCTTCCAAACTTTCCGCAATTGTTGTGCCACATAGACTCAAACACATGCCCTAACCAGTTGGTCTCCAAATGTTCGAACCGCTCATCAAGGGAGATACCAAAATGTCAAAGAGTGGACCAACAAATCCTCATCCTGTTCGTGCAGGCTCAAACACCCATTCAAACAAATGCACAACCTACGATCAGCTTGAAGGTATCTTTTAAATTCACTTAAAGGTAAGCAGACACCATATCCAGTTCCTTACTAGTGAAGGCGTGGTTTGGCATTACATTTCCATTGCATGATTATCAGCCCTATCAACCTCAAACCAGTAGCATAACCACTTCCCCATTTTTTTTGTATACACTGTGCTTCATGTTTGCGCTCATAAAACACACAAATTTTTCATCATACACTCAACTGGACAATGTATGATTAGATCAACAAAAAAGTTACTCATACAAAAACCAGAGAAAAATCAACACTTTTCTATAATCAGCACGTCAAATAACAGCCAATCACACAGGCAACAACATAGACAATTAATATCTTCAAATAACATTTAGAATTGAATACACAGAGAAGATGAAGATTATTGAGGGACTAAGTAAGTCTAATCTGCAAAGTCACACAACGATTTTTTTTTTTTTCGTCTAAGGAAAATTAGCCACGAACTATTTATCTCAGAAAAGGTAGAAATCTAAAATACATACCAATATCCATCAGACTATCAGAAAACAGGACAGGGATTGATCCCCCGATTTCTGAAATACAAAAGAATGAGATTGAAAGAAGGAAACAGAAAAGACAGAGAGATAGAAAGCTGACCAAGAAGAGCTGGAGAAGTAGAGGATCGGGAATGGAGGAGAGATCGTGGATGTGATAGATATGGAGGACTGCGTTATCGATGGTGAGAGAGCGGAGAGAGGGGGGTCTCATCTGACTCCACCTACCAATCGTTATTCTTATTATTAATATTGCAGGGACACCCCCCGCAACATTATAACAGGAAAAAAAACAACTGTTGTTTGCCCATGGGCGGACTTGCGAACATAATTCGCCCAGGGCTTAGATTTGATCAAGGTCGAATGGACCGTCACATATTTACTTTTTTTTTTTTTTTTGCAAAAAGATATTTTACTCCGTTGGTAAAACTCCACTCAAAATTATTTTTATGAATTCAAATTTTGAGAATATAACCTCTTCAACCTGTAATCAATGAATAAAATTTCTAATTGTACCTTTTTTATTTTAAAAAAATAATGTTTCGAGATTGAATAAAGACCATCCAATTTTCAACCAGTGAGAATAAAGTGTTAGAAAACTCAATTTTTTTTTATTTCTTGTAGTAATTATCTAATATTTCTTAAGTGGTTCTGAAAAGTTCAGATCAGGACCGTCTAATAATTCTTAAGTGATTCTCAAACTTTCGCATAGTAAAAATCCTCCCACTCAAGTCTTCTTATCAAGGGAGTAAAAGTAAACTATGCCCTAGTGACCATGGTATACGTGTTCTTACTTTTTATTTTTAATTGTTTTTTAATACATAAACCGGGTGGATGCACCAAATAAAATGTTTAAAATATTCAAATACAAATATTATAAAAATATCTTGGAAACTTTCAAGGTTATCTTTATCATTTTTTCATTCGAAATATTTCTTCTTTTATTTCTATGGGGTTTTTCTAAGTAGGGATGCCCTAATTTTCATGTAAAAATATTTTTTCAAATAATTTAGAAAAGCATATATGAATTGTCCAAGATCCGATTTAGTCTAGGCCTTTGAGCATACAAGATGAGGCACGGAGTGGGTGTGCCTCTATCTTTTCCAAAAAAACAACTATTAGGTGTAGCAACCGAGTCTCTTAGGTGCAACATTTTAAAATTGGGAAAGTATACAATGAGACCATTTATAAGGTAGTCACAATTAATATCAACCATTGGATGTGAAATTTGGTGGCTGTATTTATTTCATTGACCAAGCTTAAAGTTCAAAAGAAATTTTTTTCAACTTTTTAACGCAACCAAGCTATCAGATTTCACATCGAATGATTGTAAGTAATTGTAACCTCCTTGTACCAATGGTAAAGGGTCTTATTGTATACAATCCCTTTAAAATTTTACAAATCAAGCAGGGGTACACCTAGTGTTATACATTTTTAATTAAAAGTACAATGACATCTCACTCATACATCTCTCTTTAAAATCGAATTACAGTAACATTAGAGTATCATAAATATCTCTTTACATTCCCATAACCATCTCCATATTGGAGTTTGGTTGGGTGAAATGAGGGCAGAAAATGGTATGATTTCCAAAAATGAAAGCTCGAACTCTTCATGTTTTCGAGAATGCAGGAGCGTCATCTCAAGACGATATTTGTCCCTTTTCAATATAATATTTGACGTGCATAAGAATGATAATTCATCATCCTGATAAAGAAAACATAGAGGTCTTTTACAATGTTCCTAAACTCTATACGCCCAAGTTTGGAACCCGCCCATGAGACACTAGAGTCTTGATACTTTAAAGAGAGAAAGAGACAAAATCGAGTAGAGAGAGAGAAAGTTAGCCCGTTTTTCTCACTAGAATGGTATGTTCACTAGAATGGTATAGAATGGTATCTTATTGAGAGGCTAAAAGTTGTTACGAATGTGTAGCTTGTATCAGTAGGAGGGCCATTGTTATAGAGCACCAAGTATAGATATGTGGGCCATTGTTATAGAGCACCAAGTATGGATAGGAGAGCCTTTGTTATAGAGCACCAAGAAGCTGCCTATTCAGTGTTGTGGTAGTGGTGGTTATATGCACAACCAACATCTACAAGTTACATGCACTTTAACTCTCTTGATGATAGTTGTTCTAGATTCATTTTGCCTCCATCTCATCAACGATTCGATAACCGTTTGATGTCTCCTATACAAATCAACGGTTAGATGACTGTTGATCCTCCATACAACCTAGGCTCACAAAAAGTGCAAAGTGTACCATCAAGCTCCCATGCCCTCACATACACATGTGAGTGTATGTGCATCACACGTTTCATGTGCTCCACACATGTACCTTTTCTTTCTTTTATACTTAACATATATTTCATAGGAATACGTGCTCTTAAATACTGCTCAACAAACTCTCTCTTCTTCAATATGGGACTCAAATCCACATCCTTCTATCTACAAAAGCAATTTAGAAAATAACAATAAAACCAAAGTTATTGTTTTGAAATACATTTGACCACTTTTCAAGCAAAAAATACTAACAATGCATTCACTTACATGACTTGAGTTTGCAATTTAGACATGACAATGTACATACAATTGTACTTGATTTACATAGAGCTTCAACAAACACTTTTACATTAGATTTTGACAATATTGACATATGTGTGTTTCGGACACTCGCCACACAAAGCCAAATTATCGTACAATTTGTCCATAAGTAACTTTTCAGATTTATTACACCCCACACTAGAATTTCAAACCAATAGCACTATGATCTAGGCTCTATTACTTCCTAGTAATGGCAAGCATAAAGATGCTCGATATGAGCCAAATCACATCATATATGAGAGCGATTTTCAGTAGTAAAATGGAGAAAAAATACTAGGTTTGAGGTGCCAAAATCAAGGCAATTTAGTTGTAAAACATAGGAGTATGAAAGGGGTTCATTAGAGCATAGTCATAGCTTGAAACTAAGGCACAAAGAAAGACTCTACATTAGCATACGAAAGCTCAAATGTGGTGTTGAAACACGAAAGTGTAGATAAGAGAGGTTGATCTAGTGAGGAACCCAGGGTATTTAAAGATCTAGGCCTTGTGAAGGCCATCGACCTTCTCTCTCTAGGCGTGACTAGTGGTCATGACTTGTACTTTCTCTTTTTAACTCTCTCCTTTATATAGGCGTGCTACACGTCCTATCATACTCTCTCACTAAGTCGTGCCACTCTCTCTTGCATGGCATCCTCCATCAATAATGGAATGAAGTCTCTCTCATGGAGGGGGGAAAAGGCTCCTATTTAAAGGCCCTGATGAGTGTTAAATTTTGAGATGAACATTTAGAGTCATAGATGCAGGAATCCTGAGTTATCCCTTGACCAAATTCGAATCCAATTTCCCTTCACATTTTGAATTAAAAAATCCCACCTATTGAAATTAAACTTTAAATAAATTTTGATCAAATTTCAAGCAATTGTCATATATTAAATTGTCTATGATCTAAAACATATTTTGTGAAAGAGATAATATAGAGAGGGGTGCCTCATTCTTGATTCATTTCTTCTCTATCTAAGTCTTAAATTAAGATATTAGGAGTTTCTTATACGATGATTTTCTGGGAGTTTTAGAAGGGGGGTATTTATAGGTTGAGGTAGGGTTATAGTTGAAAATAAATCAATTCGATCCAAGGGTCCATATTTAGTCAAGAACTCTTGGAAATAGTTGAAAATAAATCAATTCAATCCAAGGGTCCATATTTAGTCAAGAACTCTTGGACTTTCAGATTTTCTTATAATATTCAGATAAATCGGACTTATTTATACTTATCAACCCAAATTGGGCAAGGGAACCACCGCCCTGAGTCCATCGGGTCGCGCGAGGCGCGGTCCCTTGTGCAGCCCAATGCTCACTGCCTCGCACACGTCATGCACGACACGGATCGCCTCGTGCGGCCCGACGCTCCGTGCATCGTCCAGCCCACGTGGGGGTATTTTGATCATTTTCCCCGTTGGCCCTCCCGAGACTCCAACTTTCAATCAGTATGTCCAATTTGAGTGTATGTCCAATTTGAGTGATTCGTGGACCTTTAGAAAGCTATCGGGGCCTACTATAGCTTGTGATAGGTTTTGGATGTTTTTGAGGCAGTTAAATTGGATTTTAAGTTTACTAGGGTCTACTAAAATTTGTGTAGTCCGGTTTATGTGAAATAGCCAAATTTTCAAAAGGGGTCTCTACAACAGGGTAAAAGTTGCCCGATTTTTTGATGAATTCACCGCGTAGTATATTACTTGACCGAGTAGTTTAAAAATCAGCCAAGTAGTTCATCGTAGCGGAGGCTCCTTAAGGGCGAACCTTGAAATGAGGACTACTTGGGCTCGGACAGTGCCCATGCCTTAGTTACTCAGCCGAGCTGCAAAAAGTCGGCCAACTTTTCTACCATTGGTTATTACATGTTAGGGTTCTTGTATAGGTACGTGTGTGAAGTTATGCAAAAATGTTTATACATTCTAAAATTTTCAGTTTAAGAAATTGTTTTGTTATTTTGAATTAGATGCTTGATAGTTGTAGTTTTTTATTTTTATTTTATTTTGTAGTTTTTATTTTTCAACATTATATTATTTAATTTTATCTATTAACATAATTATGTTTATTTTATTCATTTGATGTCTTATCATTTTATGAAATGATACTTTTTTTTCAAATTTCTCTTTCTTTTTATGCAAGGAGATAATTAATGGGGTTCTTATTTATTTTTTCTATTATTGTTGAAAAGTGGAAGAGTCGTACTATCTCAAAACAAATTGCACTTGGTAGCTCACGATTAAGAACTCTTGGGTTATGTTTGACAAAACTAAATTTTAAAATTCAGGTTTTCTAAAATTTGAATAAAAGCATTGCTAGATTTTCCATATATTAAGATTATCTATTATCTATATTCTATTTTTTTATGCATGTTTGACCGCTCATATATATTTGAAAGAGAAACAATGATAGGGGTTTTTAGAATGGGTCGTGAAAAAGCTTGACATCTGCCATTCAAGCTCAGAGCTCAAGCTTCAACAAAGATAGAAGAACAACAGATGAACATAAGATATAACCCTAATGTTTACAAAAAGAGAGGTTGGGTTGCTTTATCTTGCGATTCACCATGATTTATTTGACGATCCACCATGAGAGAGAGATTAAGATTGAGAAGGCATCCACTATGAGAGAGAGAAAGAGAGAATAAGATTGAGAGAGAGAAAGGGAGGGAGGTGACGATCCACCCTGAGA